AATTGATCGATATTCAACTCCACATGCTCATAAGACAGTTTAGGCTCATCTTGTACTTGGAATTTCTCTATGAACTTAGTTACTCCTCGCTGGAAAAGATCGTCAGGTAGATACCGTCCAAAGTCATGAAAGATTGAAACTGCATGCATTCCATCATCCTCAGTAGGCCTATTAATACGTTCAGGCTTTAAACGTGAAAGAACGTAGAAAATACGGCCACGAAAACCACTCTAGAAAACAATAAGAAAAATTTAAAAAAAACATTTAAACAAGTCCATGGCTCATGGTATGATACCACAATTGTAATTTGTTTATACTGTATCATCTGAGATTGGTGTTATGAAACAGACCACTATATAAAAAAGAAAACAGGTCTCTCTCTCTCTCTCTCTAATTAAAAACCACTTTTGGACCGGAGTTTCCAGCTCTAGTCTTTCATTAAAATAATAAAGATAATATATAAATTGTTAAATTTTGTTACGAGATCACAGAAAAATGATCTGTAATTGGAGGTAGACCTGTATAGTTAAAATTACCTTTGTAATATTTTTCTCACACACCAGTCCAAACTTCTGCATGAGAGATACAAAGAAGTCAAACGTCTCATCTGAAAACTTGAACTTCTCCCAGAGATGTCTTAACAGATGCTCCTCAAGGACCCCTGCGTCCAATTTCCTCCAGGCCTCTATGTGTTTTTGTTCCTGAAATTAATAATTTTAACTTAGGCCTACAGGGTTATGTTTTCATTACAAATGTTATTATTATTATTATTAATAATATTATTATTAATATTATTATTATTATTATTTATTTAGGCGTACAACCCATGCATCAAGGATTGTCAATAGTTAATATATTACTGTCCTGTAGGTGACAATACCTTACACAAGACAACATACATACAACGATGCTTTACACAAACTAAATCACAATATGAGGTTTAGGGACAAAAAACCCTGCAGCACTCTACATACCTTTGCTTCTATAATTACATCATTCAACTTAGGCCTATATATGCCACATTTTCATAACACAAAGACACTAGAAACTAGATAATCCCGCTATTTTCTTAAACTTAAATTCTTAGCCTTTTTCGTTCACTGATACGGACCCCACCCCCACTCCCTACATGGTCAAATTCATCAATGTTTCCGATCCTAACTAAAGGCGGTGCCAGCAGGATGAACCTCCCTTACAGGATAATACAATTTGTTTCCATTTGCTATGCTTGCCGACCACTGGAGGTTTTGTAGACCCCAGGGTGAAAACCATGGTTCTAAGATATTGTATGATATAATATGATATGTTAGCTCACCATAAGCTTAGGGTCAATAACGGTGATTATTGTTTTAAAAATGTCGACTAATTGCATCAGATCTAAAACAATAATATTCATTAAGGCTTCGTCATCAGGAAAGTAGAGAATCTCGCCAAGGTTGTGTAGATACTCAAGCAGTACCCTTTGAGCATCCTGTTTGACCCCACACCGCTCAACTAAAGCGATCACCTGATAAAGAAAAAAAAACCAAGTTTAATGGTTTTAAACTAGTGTAGAAATTGATACCAAAACATTCACTGACAAAGGCGGTATATTCGCAAATCAGTGACAAATTTATTAAATTACGTTTTTATTTGAAAGTAATGCCTGACAGTTATTAAGTTCAATTTTGGGCTTTTACTGTCTGTTCCTTTGAGCTTGTTTATTGCTGTTTCTGTTCTTATAAAGTTTAATGTTTTAATGAAATGAATAATCACAAGTTAATAATAATTAGTCTTACATAGCACTTATAAAGCCTCTAAATTAGCGCTTCACATTTTTATCCCCCCCCCCATCAACTGACCCCGTCATTGTATCAAGCACATATGGTACACATGCCTGGGGAGAATTCCATGTTGCAGGTGTAATCAGCGAATTTTGTGTTTGAGCCTACCAGGTACCCACTTATACGCCTGGTTTGACAAACATCGGTAAAGTGCCTTGCCTAGACGGAAGCGAAATCCACAGCGAGGGATTGAACCGCCAACCTCAAGGTTGGGAAGCAGAACCGCAACTGCGCCATCCTGCTCTTTCTTTAAATTATTAAATGTCTACCTCTTTGGTTCGTAGGTAGATATGCTTCTCTTTCAACTTTTGGATTTCCTGTTGAACAAGCAACCATTTCAAAGGCAGTTTTCTAACCATCTTCTTTGCGAATTTTAATATTTGGTCCATGATGTCAGAAGCGTTGCTCCTGGCGAACGGTAAGCTGTTCTCAATAGCAAAAAAACTTGACACCATGGTTTCATAAGGTTTCCCTCTCAATGCTTTCCTAATTTTATCGAATATTTCTTCAGCCTGAAGTTAAACAAAATATTAATCATCAGACATAAATATGAACAATAAAATAACAATACCAATGTGTGTTGAAGTTATCACCTTATTTAAGTATCAAACATCTCTAAAAACGCCATCCAACTAAAATAATGTTTGATTATTAGATTTAGATTTTTGTAGTGTATGAAACACCCGAAACAAATAAGTAATAATTCCAGGATGTCCAGTGATTTAAAAATGTTGTATATAAATTAATCAATAATTGATCGAATAATCAGTCAATCGGTTCATCGCTTAACAAATTGATTGATTAATTTTGACCGTGACGATGATAATGAACAGATGATGATAATGATGACAGCGATGGCGATGATTTTGATGATGATGAGGTTGATTAGGATGATGTACTGGTGACAATCCTGAATCTGGGCCTAAAACACATCCTTTAACAATCTTATAAGTAAGCAAGATTTCCCCTCGACTCCGAGGATATCGTATGCCACACCCCATCGAGAAAGAGCAGGGCAAATAATTAGAAGTACCGGTAGTCTATTCGCGTGCGCTTTATGTGTGCGACAATACTTTCCGCTTACTTGGCCCCTGGTTCTATACTTATTGTGTTTAAAATGGATCGGAGGGCTAACTATGATGCAGGTGGCGGCGCTCCGAGAGGGAGGGGGAGAGGGGAGAGGCTGACAGGAAAAAAACCACAATTCATCTGGGAGAAAAAAAGATTATGTATTTTCCACATATTAAATCGATTAAATAAATCTTTGAAACCCCTAAACTGTCATATTTTTGGGGTTATCCGTCTCTGAACCAGTTCACAAAGATCTTGAGCCACGCCTGACCACACCCACTTTGTTCTCGTCTGGGACATCAACCACCCGTCGGGCATATCCTGTTATTATTATAGCACACAATGGAAGCGTTTCTGCAGTTGGCCATGTGTTATAAGGTGCACATTAAAGAATGCAGCACACTCTAAAAGAGTATTAGAAAAAAATTACATTGCTGTTTGTATGTTTTACTTTGTAAAAATCCTACAACTTTGTTCAGCTATTTTTCTTGCTGTCCGCCGTCCTTTTATTGTTGGGTGGGCAAAGTCAAGGTAAATATAAAAACAACCTTTTCATCCAAAATGGAAACAGATCTCTATGGTCACAAAATAACGGCAGTTTTGGTTTTGCGCCAGTCATGGTTGCCAGTGACCACAGAAGTGTTAGCCACTTAAATCAAATATTAGTAAAGAAAACCAAAAAATTAAAATGTTGTCACTTTACGTCTTGGTCTTTATCATCAGGCATTATAAAATTCTTGTGTCTTGTATTTATGTGACAATATCAATTTGTTATTATATTTTTAAATAAATCAATTAACAATAAATCAATAAATTAACATTTTCAATAAATCGTTATAAAAAAATGCTTCATGATAATATATAGAAAAGGTTTCTTTTTTCAAAGAATGGATGTTGTGCTGGCTCCATCGGTGAACTGCTTTAAAGCAGAACCAGATTGATGTGGGGTTATAAAGGCCGTTGAGGCCAAATCCTTTCCCACTACGAGTAAGTATCAAGTATATACTTAACGTTGTACACATTTATATCCGGTATAACTTAATACCTTCTATTTTGTTTGTAGTTTAAATATGATATGTTACAGTACTTTATACTGTTTTATTGTTGACTTGGTGTATGATGTAGTTGGTTACCTTTCTTTTCTGTTCCTCTTCATTCCCCTCGAGGCTGCCTAGGTGAGTACCAATCACTAGTACTGGTGGTGAAGGTTGTCCATCTTCCAATTCTGAATCCCCACTGTTTGTATATACTGAACGAATCCAGTACAGAATGAACTCAAGGTTTGTCATTCGATGTTCGTATATATCACCCTGAAATAAAACAAAAATATATACAGTAAAAAAATGTTAAGAAAATATCATATGTATTAATAGACTGTGTAAGTCATCTGTATAAGATCACTTAATACCGATTTTAAAGTTGATAAATTTCATGCAAAACCTACTACTGTAATGAATAAAATGTTGATAAGAAATAATGCTTACAGTGGTTGGATCCCTAACTTTGGCGGGGGCGTCAAGATCATCTTCTAGGTTAAATACAACACAAACAACGGCAAAATATACCATAAAAATCTACAAGAAAATGAGTTCAATCAATAATTTTTACTATCGAAAACTGAATGAGGTACCTAGAATAATAATAATTTTTTTTTATTCAATTTATTATTAAAAATAATGACTTTACTCGTTGTATCACATGATATATTGGCTGGCCTCCGAAGTCCCAGATACTCATAATGAAATCATTGCCAGATTTTTGTGATTCTTGCGTCGCATCTCTTTTTGTGAACTTGAGTTCTGTTATTCGCTCCTGGACTTTAGTAGCGATGGTTTCAGGGACCGCTTCCATCGATTGTGGCTGTGTCTGCTCTTTGGTATCTGATTCCATTTTCAGGTTTCTGGCATTAACATTTGATGATGATTGTCCTTAAAGAAGATTCAGAATAAAAACTTAAAAATGCATAATTCAAAAACCAAGAAATAGTAGGATAATGGGGGTTTCCACTGACCCTACAAGGTTAGGTAGTGCTTGTTATAGTGAAATGTCTGTGAGTAAGTGAGAGTTTTTTTTTTATCTCTTGTTCCAAGTTCTAAATTAGCTGTTCCAGGTGGTATTCTTTTGGCAATGTACCTTTAATACTTGTTCCATGAGCAACCATACGTATTATGTTGTTAATAGAGGTGCGTCGGCACCAAGGCTATGACATGTGATGGCCCTCTGTGTGAAATACCGATTAAAAATAATGTATTCATTAAATCAATTTCTTATGAAATGCAAACACGAACGTCTTACCCTGATTATATTTCCTCTTTTTTTTAGCTGGTGGTGACATGCTCTTCAAATATTTGTAAAACAAAAAGAAATAATAAATTAACCATTATATACTTTAGCTGGATTATATCCATTATTTGTTAATATTAGTAGCATTAAATATTTCAATATTAACCAACTTAAATGCTAGTGAATATCAACAAAATGATAGTGTGTAAATCTTACTTGTCTTGTTACTTCTACATTCTTCTCAGTTTCTCTTTCTAATATTTTTTTCGCTATGGAATCTGCCATTTTTGCTTCATACATGCCATTGGCGCCAGCTGTTCAGAGATAGAGTATAATTAATTTATTCGAATAAGATTTTACTATATGATTAAATTCATTTTGTTAGTTCAATAATTGATTTTAGACTGATCTCTTGGTGAATAGTGATTTGCATATTTATTGACAAATTAAAAATAATCCCAACCTTGCCGAGAATTGACTTATAGGATAGGTACAAGGAAATTTCACATATAGTGAAAGCAGTTAGGCACACTGCAATTATTTGGAATCCGTACCTCGAGGTTGGTTTTCAATCCTTCACTGTGCATTTCGCTTGTGTCCTTGATCAAGGCACTTTATTTACATTGCTTCAATCTACCCAGCTGTATCAACAATGGGTACCAGCAAATTGCTGGGAGTAACCTGCGGTGGACCAGCGTCCCACCCCTTTACTTACAATGATCAGGTGATGTTTTCTTCCAATTCAATTCATTGTGCGACTCATGGGTACACACCGTTGTGTTGGCAATTGCGTCTGTAATACCCTCATGTGGATCAAAACTAAAGCAAAATGAAATTATTAATCTAGAGATATTGCTATTACAGAAAGCATACTACAAATAAATAATGTACAGAACGTAGATATATAAATAAATGTGTAGAAACGTACTTAAAATAATGGATTGATATTATTAAAGCTTTCATACATTTATTTAAGTTGTCGATTCTAAAAAAATACAAAAATCATTTGAATTACAGGTTTCTTACAAAAAGCATTTGAAGACTTCAGCTATTTCTACTGGTTAACTAATGTAGGTAAAGCAAACATTGAAAATATTTAGCTTACGTATTCCTTAAAAATGACTTGATAGTAGAAGTCTTGCCGACTCTCTCGAGGCCCATGAAAACTGTCCTTCCTTGATTAACCTCTGCTTCTCCCTCAGCTAGAGCATCATTAAAAGCTTTCATTGCTTCGGGCCCACGCGCCAAGATTTCCGTTGGAACCCTCCCCGCTTTAAGCATAAATATTTCTGAATTACACATTGAATTCCTTCATGTAACTTGTTAAATATAATTATTGAGGCCAGCCGCCTGCAATGCTGTCATTTACTGAAGAGGTCTTTAACCTATCCATTCATACAAATTTTTCATTGCTTCAATTGTGATTTTGCATTTCTTTTCTCATAGAATTATTCGTATCAATGGTGCAACATTTACTTCATCAAACCCAGTCTTGTGATTATGTAACCATAATAAAAGCAAATTTGCAAACAAAAGTATAGAATTAGAACTTATTTATTCCAAAAGAGGGGCAATAAATTACTATGGGGATAACAGACGGAGAAATATATAGACCTAGAGTAGTTGTTTTATTTTCATCACTGAATAAATGTTTTACAGTATTATATTCAATGATACACTGAGTGATAGCGCTATCATTTTGTCTGAATCGAGCATAAAAAAAACGCTGAAAAATATTACAAATAGCCACCTGGATTGCTAATCAAAATACTGTAATTAAATACAGCTAACATTGGGATTCTTATTTACTGTGTTTAAATGTACAGTACATAATATATACTGTACGATACACATAAATACAATAGCAAAAATATGCACATATAAAAAAAATGAATGGACATTTAAATGGTGTTTCAGGAATTTCATACTAAATATACAAAAAGCGAATATACTAATATTAATTTTAAAATGATTGATATTTGATATGAAACAAAACGAATAATTTAAATATGAACTTATGTTCGTATGAACAGCTCACTTTGTAGGCGATGCATGAGCATTTGTTTTTGTTTTTCTTTGTTGGTAGAATCGTACTTCCTACATTTGTTGTTCACATACACTTCAGCTGGAGTTTTACCATTCTGCAACGACAATCACATATCATACCTCATGAATTAAATCAATAATCAAGCAAAACAATTACATTAATGCACTTTAACAAATGTTACTCAAAAAAGAATCCTAACAATTGAATTGAATAAATTTACAAATAAATTTAATTATTCTTTAATTCTACATTTGCATCTTTGCCATCATTAATTTCAGTATGCTCCTTATCACCATCATTTAATTATTAACATCTTCATCATCACCATAATCATAATAATTATCATCATTTTTGTTGTCATCATTTTTATCTACTTTACCTTGTTTTTTATCTTGGTATTTGCGCCTGAATCCAACAGATATTTTGTTGCATCCATGTGATCTTCGTACGAATGGTTAAATCTTAACAAATCGTGAAGTGGAGTATTGCCATCCTGGAAGGAACACAATTGAAAATAGTGTTAATCAATGACAGCTCATGACGGTACAAATGATAGCATAGTGTGAATAAACAACATATTCACTGTTACTAATCCAGACACAGTCAAAACCTCGGTAAACAAATAAAATGATGCAATCAATAACATTACAGTAAAAATTTAGGTATAAATATAACCAACTTTCACCAATTGTATAAAATACGTCATTTTCATGACAATTTTCTTCCATAACAATATTTTTAAACTCCTATTATTTTATACTAAACAACAGGAAGGGGCTGGGGGGTGGCGGCACAGCAGTTTTAGAATGGATAAGTAAGTAGCAAATAACATAAATCTGCATTGTATTGTCAAAAATTTAGTGGCAAAAACACGGACGCAGCTGGCTTGACCCTAAATTGAAACTTCAATGTCGCTATATTGATATCTTGCACTATAATTGCAGAAGAATTTAGCCATATATTGACGCGATCGAAATCAACCTGTATTCGAAACAGAGGGGCCTACGGACGCTAGTACTGTCATGTTAGATAGACTACCTTCTCTGTATGGTCTTTGTTTTCTTACTTTAGGTAAGCATCGATGGTTGTGTAATACGCATTCCTCATTTGCATATTCTTTCTAACTGACCTGGTTTTTATCACAGGTGAACATATAACTTTGTTTGCATTGTTGCTTGTGTGAATGTTGATTCGGATAGGTGTAGTTGTATTTACTGCGTACTTAAACCTATTTCCCAATAACGCTAAACACGTTCGTTGATTTAATATTGTTTTTGCTGTTGTTTGAGAGTTATAGTTTTTTAGTTTGAATTATTCGCTAAACGCTACAAATTTTTCGGCTATTTCATTATTGTTACTTTTAATTGCATGCATGTTTAACCGTTAACTTTAAAAGTTGATAGTTGTGTTAGTTTGAATATTTTGATCATTTTGCGATTTATTCTACTATACTACTTCTTTTAAGTTGTGCTTGTTTGAACTTTGACCTTGAGAGTTGTTTACTATTTGAATTTTTTGATCATTGTGCGAATTGTTCTATAGAGTATCACTACTTTCATTTTTGTTAAAATTTGACCTGTGACCTTTTGACCCGCAATGTCGAGAGGTGGTAAAATTAGGATAAACTTTTGTGATGTTACGGATCTTTACGCTATCCATAATGTTAGTAAAAAATGGGGGGAAAAGATTATTTTGTGGAGGTCCCGTTATGGTAACATCTATCCGACGAGTTTAAGTGATATTAAGGGTATTGGAGGGGGTTTTAAGTTAATTAAAGAATTCGACTTTACTCCCAATCCAGTGCTAGAAGGTCGGGGTTTTTCCAAAATGATTGACTCAGTGTCAAATCTCGTTTCCAGTAAGAACCTCGAAGCCGCCACCATTAAAAGTAATCCTTCTGGCAGTAGAAATATCCGTTCGGGGGGAACATCATTCCGTGCAGCTAAGTCATCTAGGGGTGCATCCGCATCTACCCGACGGGAGCTCGATTACTCCAGTGATAGTGACAAGCATAGTGATCAGGATTTTGACCTAAATTCTAGGGAGGAAAGTAAGTGAGAATCTGATGATTCTCAGGGGTATGCCAAACTTTTGAGAACTATAAGGCGTACTGAAAGGAGGGCTCCACCAAAACGAAGGGGTACGTCATTTAAGTCTAAAGATATCCCAAAGACTTTGACGTTTAAAGGGAAGGAAAACTGGTCCTTCTTTAGACAGCGATTCCTCAGGTTTGCAGAAGAGTGGGAGCTTTCGGGAAAGGAAAGAACGGACGCACTCTGTTGGTGTGTGGAGGGGAGTGCGGCCAAGTTTTATGTCAATCTTATTGAGATGGATAGACACATTTCCTTTCGCAAGCTTATGAGCGCCTTTGATAAGCGATATGAGGAGGATGACCTTCCGGAAGTTTTGCAGGCTAAATTAGAAGCCTCTTCCCAGCGGGAGGACGGAACAGTAGATGAGTGGGGAGATAGGGTCCTCACTATGACAAGGAAGGCCTATGGTGCCCTTCGAAAATCTTGGATTAGGCGACAGGCAGCCATAAGATTTTGTTTAGGGTGCAGGGACTCTGAGGCGGGGAAGCATGTTCTCCACAAGAACTGTGGAGTTAGATAAGTGGGGGGTAGACCTAACAGGGGTGGCAAATCCAGCTATCCTAACTACCAACTCAAAGATAACTCTAGGAGGGCAGGGAGACCAGGTCCCTTGAGTCAGAAACTGTTGGGGGACGATACCAGCAGTCGATTGGCCGCAATGGAAGCTCGGGCAGTCCAATTGGACTCTAAGTTCGAAACCCTCATGGCTCAAGCGAAAGCTAAGTTTGAAACCCAGCTGGCGCAATTGAGCGTGCTTGGGCCACGGGGGGAGGCTGTTACGAGTGCCACGATCCGGGACACTTCAAGAGGAATTGCCCCTTGCTTAAACAAAAGCAAATCAAACAAGTTGGGGGTAAGGAGGGGGAGCCTTTAAATGAATAAAGGTTGGGGGCAGTGGCCAGCTACCTGACCCTCCTCTTAGAACAGGCCAGTTTCATGAAACAGAAACTTTGAAAATAGATCGGGGTCAGGCGGATTCTTCTAGTATAGGTTTAGCTAAGATATTTAGTGTTTCAGAAGAACTGCCGACCAGCCTTGACACTTGCACCTCGAGCGACTGTATCGGTAGGCGTATCTAACATTGGTCAAGAGCTTAAGAATTCAGAGACAGAGTTAATAATTGTTAACCGGGTAAGTTCTACAAATGCTTTACACGCAACTGCATATAAATAATGTACCCATTAGTGTAGTTGTGGATACTGCAGCAGATTATACCATACTCTCAGATAAAGTGTACTCCAGCCTTAACTCTTTACCACCCATTGTAGCTAAGCTCTCCTTTACTCTAGCTGGAAGGGGGAGTTCAATGCCAGGTTGCAAGGTGGGACCTGTTAAGTTTAGGCTTGGATCTAGTGAGTACATTGAATTCTTTTATGTCGCACCCATTAATGATGAGATGCTCCTGGGTGGGGATTTTCTCCTTCCAAACAAGGCAATCATCGATTTTGGGAAGCTTTTACTGACCATTGGTAACAGTACTATATCTCTCCGAGGTAGTTCTAAATCTGAACCAACGTGGTGCAAGTTATAGTGGCTAAACGTAGGGTAATTCCACAGATTGATTGATGATTCCGGCTACGCTCCACCGTGGTGGGGGAATCCCATGTTTCTGCGTCGTCAACTTTTCAGATCGTTACGTTACCATGAAAAGAGGAAGGAAGATTGGCAGGGCTGTGGAAATAAATGGTGTAGAATCGCGGGCAGAGGGTCCAACGCCGAACCTAAGGGTAGCTGCGGCTGAGGAGGAGAAGGAGGGTTCTCACGTGGGGTCTAACTTTTCATCAGCGGTTGGTGTCCCTGAACATTTGGTTGGTATGTTGGAGTCTTCCAGGTCTAATCTCTCTGATTCTCAATTCCACATATTAACATATCTTTTATCACAGTACCAGGATGTGTTTGATCAGTTCGACATCGGCACTTTCAAGGGCATCGAGCACTGCATTGATACCGGAGATGCTCCACCAATCAAGCAGCGACTCAGGCCTACTCTTTACATTTTGCTGGTGAAGAAGAGATGGAAATAAACAAGATGCTTGAGGCTGGAGTCATTCAACCCTCTGTGTCAGAATGGGCTTCACCACCAGTACTGGTGCGGAAACGAGATGGATCTGTACGTTTTTGCATTGACTATCGTGCATTGAATAATGTAACGGTGAAGGATGTATATCAATTACCTCTAGTCAGAGATTGTATCGATACTTTATCAGGCAATAGATGGTTCTCAAAATTAGATGCCATTTGGGGTTACTGGCAGATCAAAATGAACTGTCAGGACCAGAAGAAAACAGCTTTTATCACCAAACACGGGTTACACGAGTTCGTCAAGATGCCTTTTGGTTTCTCAAACTGCCCTGCTACGTTCTCAAGAGCTATGGGGTTGGTCTTAAAAGGTTTGGCCTGGGACATCGTGTTGGCTTTCTTGGATGAAATCATCGTGTT